CTCCAAGGGTATCAGGTAAAAAACTGACGAACTACAAGTACAAAGAAGTTTTGGAATTTTCCAGGCTTATTAAAGCCTTGTTTTCCGGTTCAGGGTGTTTACGGCGATAGAATCGCATTAGCTCTAAATATTTCGTTGGGTTGTCATGGCGATATAAGAAGATGATATTATTTATTCATTATTTAAAATATGAATATTAAAATGGTTTTACTTCACCTAACAAAATCAATTCGCTCATCATTCTTAAATTTTCTAAGTCAACGATTACTGCACGATTATGATGGTTTTACGTCCTTTCGCTAAACCAACTGTTTGTGTTTTTTAAAAACTGCCTAAAGACAACCCTCACAAATAAATCCTGATTATCGGAATTTTACTCGTAATTTTCATGAACGTTCAATTGGCCTATACAATTAAACATCAGCTGGAAAGGCACAAAAGAAAAACTTATACTCTCTCTTAATACTGTTCGTGTTCAAATACCAGAGGTAGTAACTGGTTTGAAATATATTGTTATGCAAGGAAATGTGGGAAATTACACCCAACTACAGGGTATGTCTCTTCTTAAATGTCGAGCGGTGGTGCAGTGCGTGGTGCACGCAAGCGGCATCCTTTATGGCGGAATAATCATCATGATAGGTGATATCATTTCCTGAGTGGTTTGATTAACTATTATGTTTCATATTACCGGAAGAGCGGATATTAATGAAATTGACTTTAATTTCCATTTTCACTGCGAGGAACCAACGATTTAAAAATAAAAAATCCTCCTAATTCTGCGCTGGAATGGCAGATTTGCAGATTGTGCTCAGACGAACCCGCGTCCGGGGTGAAGTTGCGGAACAAAGAGAAATCAGTGAAGGCCTTCCATTTCTGCATCAGCGTCATTCTCTAGTGCGATTTTTGTTCAAGTTGTAATTATTTAATGAGAAGCAACTGAAGCAAATTTGTAAAAATTCCATAACCGAACGCATTTAAATTCGCAATATCAATATAGGAAATTGAAAAACAGCAATTCATTGAATCTTTTGATATAAAGAGATCAAGATGAAGTAATGAATTCATAGATAAATTACAATAACATTTTCAGAAACAGTATGGCGTTGTAGGCTGTTGCTCAAGGACTTCTTCAGCCTTCAGGCACAAATCCAAGCTGACACAAGAAATTTTTCAGGCTCAGTTTCGATTAAACTAAAAGAGGACGAATTCAAGTTATGACAACATATTTAATCATCGATACCTACGAAATCAAGTTCGATGAAAGCAGTACAAAAATAATGCAATCGTATGAAAGTTTATGGAGAGTTTAATGTCGAAAAACTAGTACATTAATTATTTGTAGTTGTGAGATTATTCTAGAATACCAGACCAAAACAGCAATTTGATACTGAATACTTGCTATACATGCAATATGTATGAACGCTGTTAGGAATTATACCACCTCATCTCTTTTATTATGATACACGCTATAAAAATTACACATTCGGCAGCTTACGCACTATAGCTACTAGGCTGCGCACCTGCTACAGCGCTGTGTGTGCTGCATTGGTGAGCCATCATCGGCAAGCTATTTATTCCCATCAATTGCATGGCGGGTAGAAACCGGATGGAGCTATTAGGTGACATGATTATATAATTATTGGAATATTATTTACATAGTTTTCCGATATTCATGCAGCTTACAATTATTGAATGACATTCTCAAATGTGTCACTATAATACAAAGAAAATAAGTTACAAATACGGCATTGAGAAAATATTTTATTAAGAACTTATTTCTCTCCCAAAGAAACTCGAGAAATTAGAGTTCGTTCTGCACTGTAAATGCCATACAGAAACGATCAGGTCTCATCGAAAAATTATTACGAAGCTGTATTACTAACGTAAGCAGCGGCTTTCGTTATATCCAAATATCCTAAACAGAATCTGTTATCATATAAGGCTGAAAGCTGATCGCACTACATGAAAATAACTTTAAGATGATTGCAACACGTATGGTATTACTAAGGATCATCATTTGAGCACAGCCAGTTGAAAGTTGATGCTATGTTTCTACACTCCGTTTAGTGATCAACGATCAGATGAAAACTAAAAAAAAACACTAAAAAATATCAGAATTGTGATGTCACTACTTACGAGAAGACAGAGATAAAGGAATTTGCCGTAATTCATGGAATTTTTTGTGGTTTTTGAACGAATTTAGTGACCGATGACGTATTCGTTTGACTGCATTAATCGACTTTAGCGTAGAGGTATTATTAAGAAATAACACTGAGGTACTTCGAAACATATTCCATACGCTCAGCTTGTGCTTGTTTCGGCTTTCTAACCTTAGTGCTCCGTGATTCTAATAAGACCAAGTTCAGGCTGATTGCTCGTTTTAGATTTAGTTAACCTCCCAACTAGGTAGAGGATGAGGTCGGTAAAAGATGGACGCAAAGCTTGTCCTTTTACCATTTAACAGATGATTGAGAAAAAAATAGGAAAAGTATAATTGACAAAGCAACGGTTCAATAGGACAGACATATGATACATGAAATGTTACGCAGAATATGATGATGTTACGCGCTCATGCTCACACACATTTACTGTCGAGATTTTGTCGCCCGGGTGCTGTACAATATTCACAGCAGCGGGATTTAAAGTAGTCACTAATTTACTTCCAGAGCAACAATACTCAGAGAATTCACAGAGAAGACAAAGTCCTAATACTTCTCAGCACAAAAATCAACTTTGCTAAAACTTTCACTATCCGAAATGAGCGTAATAAAATGGATTGTACTCACAAGAGATCAATGTGTTTTTAGCAAGCACACGGCCCCTACAACCGCATTTTTAACGATATTCAATTTAACCGACATTCTATTCTGAAAAGCGTTTAAAAATCATACTTGTACCCAGTTAAATGATATAAATCCAATGCGAATGACGCTATGAGAGAAGCAGCACAGAGCATAGAGAGAATGATCAACTCTTGGAAAACTATTTAAATTTATGCCTTAATTGACCTAATTTAACGTAGTTTACAGAGAGATTAGTTTAATTTATTTTTTCTGCATGCTATTTTAGTAAAGTCGTAAGAGAGTAAAAATAACATGGATTATCCTATTTCAGCGATTTTTCATATTATAAGACACAAGAGTCTTTAGATACATAAAATTCAAAGTCTTTTTAGTCAGAAAAAATGAAAATGGCCGTTTATTCACTGCTTTATTTACAAAAGTATCATGTAAATAAAAAATTTAAATGGAGCATAGTTTGGCATGACTAAGAACTAATCAGCACAACGCGAACTTACACAGAGATAGTTTGACATATTTTCTTCCCTGTTTTTGAATCCTAGTGTATTAAATTAATTGTTCAAGAGTTCAGAACAGAGTTCAGAACAACTCTGCATTAGGGGAACGAACCTGCATATTTGAGATACGTTCCCGATATTGATTTGGCACTACAACTATTTCGATTCTTCCTGTCGGAAACGATAAATTTAACACATTTCGCAAAGTGATACGCTTTCTCTCGGCCGTTTATTTATCGTCACTCATGTTTCGGCGTGCATCTCTATCAACATTTCTATGGAAGGCACAAGAAAAACACGGTCGCTGATTTCAAACCTCAACCTCGGAGTGGTAAAAGATTCAAAAACATCACTGAGATGAAAAAAGACATAGAAAAATTAAACGCATTAAAATAAAAATTTCCTTAAATTCAATTAAACAAGTGCATAGAACAATTCCAGTGCAGAAAAAAAAGAACTAAGAATGAATAAGGTATGGCAGCAATTAAAAAAATAGTGCCGTCAAGAAATGAATGGAAATTGGACACGAGAATCTTGAACTGGAGAGGAACGGGAGAGTTTTGCTTTTTGAATATGTACACAATTTACAGCCACAGTATTCTCTCCGATGAACAAAAATAGTTTAAATACATGATTTATACACGCAAAGGTAACCAAAATTCATTGACATGTGATGACCTAATTTAAAAAAAGATACGTTCCATCCTGGTTCCGGGCGAGAGATCAAAGAGCAAATTAAGCTTAAAGTAACGTAATTCCCCTCGTAAACGAGGAGAAAATCTATTTAAAGTAAATCTTAGGTATCGAGTACTCACTCACAACAAATCAGCACAAAACAGACACATAAATAGCTTTAGACACAATAATCTTGCAGGCAACCCGCAAAATCTCGCAAACAAAACTTGGCGAATAACGTTGTGTAGTCGGTCATCAAGCTGCCGTATCGTCATGCATCAGTACTGTATCGGAAATACTTCTTATACGGTATTTCGAGAGATGAGGGCTTCACAAGTGACCTTTAGATGTGTTAACAGTAAGCAAATGACTTAGAATTATGCAATCATGTATACACAGAAATGCAGGAAATTGAATATTTACAGACACGGACGTCCCACAAAAACTGATATCTATTAGCATCCTAAATTACTTACAAATGGCTGAACTTAGTATAAAAATAAACATTCAACATAGTTATGATGAACAAGGAAAATGAGATGAATTCATGAATCGTTTTCAGATTTCACAACTTCAAACTAACGGTGAATTGCATGATAAAAATAGGTTGCTAGCCCAAAGCACATAAAAGACAAGCAACTCGATTTTCAAGCAGAGGAAAAATCGCATCAGAAAAAAGCAAGTTTCAATTTTTTATTTAGAAACAAGGTAATTGCGAGCTTTTTACGAGCTATCAATCAAACTCTGCTGAAGCACAATAGTAATTTCGAATAAGTTGGAAAACCAATTCTGCAACTCTAACGAAACATTTGCACACAATGTTATACAAATTGAATAGAAAAAGTCGCTGCAAAACTGTCTTTATCAAATTTCTGACTATCACAAGAACAACTTTTCTTGGGCAATAATCGGGGAGTTGAATAATTGATCAGGTTTCATTCAAAGCGATATGAAATAAGGAGCAGTAAAGTGAGGCAATTGCCACATAGAAATAGCAAATCACAATGAAATATAAATGTAAAATTGAAACGTTTTCGGAAAATCGGACGGTAAAAATATTTCCTAAATACTTTAATTTAAAAGATCGAAGACTTGATTTCTTTGGGTGTGGTTTACAGTCAAGTTTTGACTTCAATCTTATAAGCATACTTACTACATCGAAGAAAGTAGCTTGGTATTAAGGGAACCTAGGAAAAAACTAGGGAACGTTCATTGCTAGCACCATGACTCTGCCCCTCCACTGTAGACATCGGCCAGGGGGTTCACGCTTTCGTGGTATAGTGGTCCCTCACCACCACCGATATCCCTCAGTCTTTGGTAGGGCTGAGGGCTTCTCGCCCTCAGGTCAGCGGCAGGTTCTTGTCTTGAGGGTCTGTTCTGATAGAAACGCGCTCTGCGGTACTGCCGGGCAGCGTCTTTTGGTACAGGCGGGAAGTCGAATTCACTGTCTGTCGGTTATGAACAGAAACACTGATGATGAAATAGTGAGAAGTGTTGTCACTTCAGTTTTCAATGCCATGCTAAATATCCAGTGGAAGTAATCTCACTAAAACCGAAAAAATTACGATGCTGATTTCCACTATACCAACCCTTGCTCGAGTTGATATTCATCATATCCGGCGCAATGAAAATTAGTGGATTTTAAAACAAATACAGGAAAATGAAGGAGAAATTAATTATGCGTATCGAATAAAAAATGAATTTTGATACACGTGTCAAGGTATAAAACATGAATCTAAACTAAACAGAATCTGACCCGACTCAGCGTTGTTGTCCTGGCCGTAGAGTTGGTGCAGGCGCTCGAACTTGGGCCCCCACTCCTGGAACTCGTCGTAGTGCGCAGGCTGGTCGCCGTCAGACGTACCTGGACATAGACCTCCAGTCAAAAGGTCGTAAATACGATCCTGTGATCACTTATCTTAAACTTATAAAACGAGGGTAAAATTGTTTACTGGGGTTAAAGAATATAGACTTGTTAAGTATGTGGTAATTGTTCATTAACCATAATTAATTAGGCACATCAAAACATTTTTAAAATGAGTATTTAAAGTTGTAGTCCCAATCTGGCCCAATTTGAGCAATTAAAATTATTGCATGGAGTCTAATGTACGAGACATGCATGGAAGTTTGTAAGATTAAGGCATTCAATTAGCGGCATAAATGAGGTACCTGAGCTAAGGGAAGATAGTGAGGCGATGCTCATATCGTCGCCTTCATAGCAGTAATGGCGGACGTTGTCGAGCGACTCTGGCTCGCTGTGGAGTTTCTGGAGCGAGTCTTCGATGTAGTCGCCCACGCACCAGCCCTCTGGAATGTGCGCGAGCGGCGCGCGGGAGAGCGGCTCCGTGTACGTCACGTCCGGCATCGCTCGCGGCACTGCGGGAGGGTTCAGTTTTGTGCATTATACGTGAATGTTGATATAGTATTGTGTATAGTGCATAGTAAATGTTGATATTATACGGTACAAATGCTATCGTGAAAATTGTAGCTGTAAGTACCGCACCTTTTGTACCGCACCTAATGAAAACGTCCGTGACGAGAATCGTGGTTGGTCCACCCGTAAATTTAATTGGAAATGAGGTACGAATAACTATGCAGACATCCTCCAGTGAAGTGTACTATTTTATAAACTAGCATAATCACTGGGGTAACTCGAACGTAGCATTATTCAGGGACGAAATAATAAATTATTATATGTAAATTCCTCCTAACACGCAGCAAATCCTAAATGAAAATAAATATTTGCTTACGAAGTTCTTTTGAGATCATCATCAGAATACGACCAACCTATACTTAGACCTTCAAATTTTTGCCGAAATATAGCTACTAAATAATCTATCGAAGAAAATATAGTACTAAATATTCAGTAGCATAACGATAGAGAAAATTGGAAGCATGTTTATAACCAACTTTACGGATTCACACGCAATTATTGCGTTTCCTGACGCAAATATAACTTTCTCCATCCCACTGACAAAAATAACATCTCAGTGCAAAACAGAGACGATCTAGCGATCTTTACGTTTCACTAAGTAGTTCAGAAGAAAGTAGTTCAAGTAGTGAAACAGACGCGGCTGCTCAGTCTCTCTCGCAAGCAGGCCACCGGTGTATGAATCAACTTTAGGGAGATCGGAAACGCTGCACGAGTTTGCCTGTCTGTTCCTCAGGAGAAAAGTCGACCACTTCCGCTACCCGTAATGGACTGCCGGAGGCTATGCGTCTTTCTGCGCTGAAGCAATTGTGCGCGATCTTAACGTACGAATAACATGGCAAGACTCCATTCCCATCATGCGAAAAAGAAATTGTGTTATAATCCGTCGTCTTAAAAGCTGGCAACGAACTCCCAAAGAATTTTTCGCCTGGATTCAGAGGAAACGTAATGTGAACGTATTTTATATGGTTAGGAGTGATGCGAACTTTGTAACTTCAAGTCGAAAGAATTCACCAGAAGAAGAATTCGGTGAATTCGGTGAAGAAAATGCTTAATGTAAAATATCAATATTACCACTTATGCTTCGACTTTAAGATCTGGAACAAGTTAATCGAATGAATTTAATTTTGCCTTTAAACAATGGCGTGAGTTTATGTGAGGCTCCAATGTCTCCGATCGAATGACGCACAACTGAGATTAATGCACAAATCAAAGTACATCATTTGCCGAGATCACAGCATTCCGTGTCTCAAAACCATGTATACTGGCCCGACTCAGAGAGTTGGTGCAGGCGCTCGAACATATTGAGCTGGAAACGGACTGCGCCCGGACTGAGATATGCACAGAGGCACGGTCAGAAAAATCTACTTAAGCCAATAACGACAGCATGTGGCTGCCTTGAAGCCAGTTGTTAGGAATTTGTCGTGAGAAAAAAAATAGCTAATAGACTGAAATCGATTATTAAGTATTTAGGAAACACGGACCTGAGCTAACTACGAACAGATGTATCATATATCTGGGGTTGACATCGAGCTCTCCGTATCTTCTGAAATCTGTCTCCGGAGACGCCTTCTGATCCGTTTCCCTTATGAATTCATGATGTTTATTTAAATAAATATTCATTATTTGAGCGTGATCTGTATTCTCCTGTGGATATCAGCAGGAGCTAATGTGTGGAAGAACCGTACTGAGATACTGCACCAATAAATGATTGCTTCGAAGTCACTATGCATGGATAAACATCAATATAGATCCCCCGGAAATCCGTCTTTAATCACGTCTATTCGTATATATTATCGTATGACCGTCGGTGTGCAAAAATGATAATTTCAAAGCTAGGCTCTTTTAATTATTGCGGAAATTTATCATCTTTGCTGTTGTCTTTGAATTATTCTTCACTCTAAAATTCTATTACTAGCTATGGCCATAAACCTTCGTCTCAGAGGCAGATGCCCCACCATCCCTGTACGGCGCCCTGTACGGCGGCCTTGCTCCAGCAAACATCAAGTGCCTAAGGCAAGCCCACATCGGCAAGCTTGCAGCCCGCATGTCAGCGCCTCGAATTGACAAGTCTCTCCGCTCTAATGGATAACGGACAAGCGCTGTTGTTGCCGCAACATGGCCCTTTTTGCCACATCAAAATTCAAACTTACTAAAACGACCTCAAGCCTAACGGTGCGGCAGGTAAGGGACTAGCAGTGAAATTTAAGATGCAAGTGTATAGGTGGGCATCAGTAACAGCGCAGACTGCATTAGCAGTAACGAGAAAAATGCCTTATCAACCAAGAAACAAATTAATAAGAATACCTTTTGAAGTAAATGGCAATCGAGTCACTGAATGAATGTGCTAATTTATTTTCAAACAATACTGTCAAAACTGCCTGCTAAAAACACGAGATTAATTAAAAATGATTAAAATTGAAGCATAAAATACGTAGCATAAATTTATTGCAGAGAAAAAACCTATCATAATAAAATTGTAATAGTAATATCCAAGTTCAGACGCACTAAAAAATTATTAAAAAGAAAGATGCAGTGATGACTTGACTGAAAAATACAAGTTTCGTGAATGAAAAATATGAGTCATTGAATGCAGTTATGAAATTGAACTGCATTTAGTGAGATTCATGTCTGGAGACAAAAAACCTGCCGACATAAAAAAGGCGAGGAAAAATTGAATCCCGTGAGTGTAGATTGGACAGAGGGAAAAGAAAATAAATGCTGAGAAGTATTGACCAGAGATCAGCGAACGCCTGAGATGTGCGCAGAGACACGGCCTGAGATGTATGCAGAGACACGGCCTGAGATGTGTGCAGAGACACGGCCTGAGATGTGTGTAGAGACACGGCCTGATCGAGATGTGTGCAGAGACACGGCCTGAGTACACGGCCTGAGATGTGTGCAGAGACACGGCCTGAGATGTGCGCAGAGATACGGCCTGAGATGTGCGCAGAGACACGGCCTGAGATGTGCGCAGAGACACGGCCTGAGTGCGCAAGGGCATGGCCTGAGATGTGCGCAAGGAACGCGACTCGATACCCTGCCTCTCCTCCTCCCCTGCTCGTAACTATAATAACCGCCGTAGACAGTGTGCCGAGTTACGCGGGTGACGGGGGCACGAATATGATCCCGTTCGCGTTAGCGTAAAATTGGGTGCCCTGAGCTCTTAATAAATAAATATATATATAGATATGTATTGAGGGTGATGTGGGGGTTTTCGTCGTTTGCAATCTTACCTTTCTCAGCCGAGAGGAGTTGGCCGTCAGGCGTGACTCTAAGCATGTTCAGGTCGAACTTAGTGGCATCCTTCTCCTCGAAGCCCTCCAGGTTACTGGCACCCATGGTCTGGTTCACGAACTGGAGATGGTCAGGGTACGAAGGTTGTCGCTTCGAGCGTCGCGCCAGCAGCAGCAGCAATAGCAGCAACACTGCATTTACAACCAAATTTCTGTATTAATTGCAAGTTATACATTTGTTCTACCAGTAGAGCTCTAAGTTGTTTAAATTTATTCATACATTTTTATAGTGATAAGTATTATGTTTAGACTAATACAGGAGTCTATCAACGAATGAAATGACTGTCCGTATTTATGCTCATGATTTATGCTGATGCTGATGATTCAACACATAATTCGACATATTCTTGTATTCACATAGGAAAACATACAGGACTAAAATATGATCAAAAATGGCGTTAAATGTTGCTTGTGTTGGTCATAGGTAATAAAAGGCAGCAGATAATTCTAATACGGAACACTAGTGTTATGAGCTACAACTAATTTTGACAGAAATCATCAGAATATATTACATGAATAAAGGCATCTTATAAAGCTAGTCCACAACGGAACTGATAACGACATTGAGATAAAATAAGCACCATATCAGTAGTAGATTAGGGCAAGAAACGTTCTACTAATTCAAAACGATATGTTACATTAAGGGAAAACCAACATCATATTTAAATAAATTATATAAAATAAAATCAAGAACCATTTCGATTCCCCCAGTGTTTTTAAGTTTCTTTCTTAATTTACGATTAACTTTAAAATTATAGAACTTAGGTAAGAAATGTCTTCAAAAGTATACAACAAAGACAGCAGTGGCAGACTCAAAGACTCACTGAGCAGCAGGAGCAGCGAGACGATGATGATGACGATGGACTCTGCCCCAAGTTGGACGACGGCCTCCATTTTCACCTCAGCGCAGGTAGGATGGAAGTTAGCGAAATAGTCTGTTGCGTTGAGATCATAGAATTGGTCATTGAATTGAAGAGATGAGAGGCAGCCAGTGAAGTATGGCATGCTTTTGGGAGTAACACTCCAACCGTAGCTTTGTGCGAGCGTTGCAAATGAAGGCATAGATGCCATGCCACCAAGTTGGAGGGGACCTCCCGTATTGAACAGGAAACTCGGTGAATCGCCCAACAAGGGTTTTGAGTCCTCACACGGATCAGTGGCACTGCAGTTGCGTACTGTAAGAGTTACGCCTCCGTTGCCCCATTCAAGAACAACCGTCACGCGCACGTCTTGCACTTGTGAAAAAGGAACTGATAGTACCATAGTCCCTGTTCCCAATTCCAGATAGGCAACTACTTTGGGCGTGTTATCGAAGTATATGTACACGAAATCTTTAGGGTATTCAAAGTAAGGTTTCGCGACGATTGGGCCATTGTACAACAGTATGCCAGCTTCCTCTGAGCTCTCGAAAGAAAGAGAAAGAGACGATCTCTCACAAGTGTCGAGAGGACTGAACCAAGAAAAGCCTTTGTTCATCCTTGCTGAGAGCAGCTCACACTTTGGTCCGTAATTAACCTTATCAGGGCAGGTGCATGCAGTTGGGTTTGACGATGATAGACACTTGCCACCGTTCAGACATTCGCAGAGATCGCCGTCGTCTTCGCCGTGGAAGTGATGATCGCCACTGCAGGTGCACGCGTAATACTCGTCTACCTGAATACTAACGACAGTTGAGTTTCCACTACCAAAGACCGCTGGGTGGGTAGAGTTGATGCGTAGCTCCATGTTGCAGCTAGAGTTGGAACAAGGAGATAAACTCTCGTACAGACATTTGTCTGTGTCAACGAGGGGAATGACGATTCCTAAGTCCTTTTCCACCTTCCGACAAAAGAAGTCAAAATTCAGTGAATCGCTCGATTATATCTTAGAAGAATTCAATTTAATTACTAAATTAAATTTCAATAAATGTTGATAATAAAATTGGAAATAATCAAACGATTTATTTTTATAACACTTATGTTTTAGTGTTCATGGCAATACAACCGTACGTACAAGACCTCTTGTCCTAACTTATGCCTCACTAAAGTGAATATTCCTTTAGAAGTAGGAAAGCCATTAAAGTCTCGGTTACCTCCGACTTTTTGCTGAGCAGGATACCGTTGAGCCGGGGCTCGGTGAAGTATGGCGAGCCATGGCAGTTGTACCGCACCAGGACGCCGCCTTCCGCTTCCGTGATGGAGAAGACGTCCATGTTTTCCGTAGCCACGCCGAACACGGAAGCAAGTCGTGTCCGCAGCCGCTGATACAAACTCGGTCCGTTCTAAGAGAGGAACCCAAAGTCAAATATATGCGGCATAGTGTCTGAGAAGAAAATCGCTGAAAGATTCAAAGCCGAGATGAAGTTAAACAGCAATACAGCATTTCGCACTTGAATACGTACGGACAGCACTTGCAAAATTTCTGAATAATTTTGAAAAAGATCATGAAAATATAGAAACGCTAATTAGGAAAGAATTGTAACGGAATTAATTAAAAATTAAACAAATAAATAATGATTGGCAATGAGTGCTGCACTCAAAAAATTGGAACGTACGATTCCGTAATTTTCGGGAATTTGCTCAAAACTGTAAAGTTAAATTTTACTATATCTTTAAAAAAAAGCTTGAAAATTACATTCTAAAGCTTGAAAATGACACTCTCTGTTAATATGTTGGCCCGAACCAACAAAAGACAAAAAAATTAAAGAGCGAAAAGCGAAATTCCGGATTACAAAATCAGGAATAAAATGTATTTTTTTTGGAAAAATATGAATAAAGTTTAGTTTTTAAAGCTTGTAAGCATTCATAGGAAACATACCCCATTATTGTTGACCATGTCGTGAGCGGTGGTGCCGGCCACGATGAAGGAGCCGCTCTGGCGCACGGCTCGCTCAGGCAGCGTCACCACCTGGATCACCTGCCTCCCTATGGCCGTCTCGCTGCGCGCGTGGTCCGTTACCTGACCAGGGGCCAAACTTTCAAAACTCGCTAAGTGAACGTAAGTACTTACGCTCTATTTTCTTGTCTATGATTGGTGGATTTTGCTTGTAAGGCCGTCAATGATTGGCTGATGAACTTACGATCTCTTAACTTTTTTTGAAAGTATAGGCCCAGTGCACCAGCAGGAAATTAAATGCCACTGGGTATTGGTGTCATAATATCAAACTAGTTTTACTACGTCACAACACGACGTAATGTCGCTCGACTCCAGCGTTCGTTCGCAGTCTCTTTGTTGTATCCAGTATGAACGGATCTCTCTTCTGTTACACGATGTAAGTGTACTTGCATTGTAGTCTCTTGAATAATACTTGTGTTATGTTGTTATATTGTTGTGTTATGTTGATTAGTATTTTACATCGTTCATTATTCTTCCAGGTAACTGGGCATTTGTTGAATAACGCTTGGATTACCCAAGTTTATTTACTCCCCGATTCCACAACAATTGGCTCCATCGAACAAGATGAATAAATGGAGCAGAAGAACTTAAGGAGCCGAATGTATTGTACTGTATCTTTGGTACTCAATGTACCGTAAGTATTATACCGTGCTGATTGCACCGTACTGAACGTACCATATTACAACTCCAAAGAAGTAACGTATTAAAATTTTATTATATCAACTTTCGTAAAAAAAATTAGCGCCGAAATATACTCTGGGATTATCTTGCAGCAGAGGCTTGAATTTACATTGCTTTGGGTGAACATTCCTCTTGTCAGGTAAAAACAATGGAAAATCGATCGTAGAAGTGTGTCCGATCTTGTAATAATCTTCTTAACTTTGATAAAAATCGATAAAACACATCAACAATGAAAAATAAATACTCGGGCAAACCACAAAAGGCCGTTTTTATATAAAAATTATCTATATCAGTTTGATATACGTAAATGGACACGGGTAGACTCGTCAATGATCTTGGACACGGGCTTATATATATATAAATGGATATAATAAATAGACATAAATGGACACGGGTAGACTCGTCAATGATCTTACTCGAACGAACAAAGTGTATGTGCCGGCCTTGGTGCCCGCCTTCATGGTGATGTTGCCGGTCTCCTTCTTGACTTGGAACTGCTCCTCGGCGTCCGCTGCCGTCATGGGGTCAACCTCGAAGGTCTTGTCCCCTGAATCGTGGTCGTCGGCATCCGTGACGTAAACGTTTCCGATCACGATGTCAGGATATTTTCCCTGATGATATTACCATGAAATAATTGTTATGTTTGCGCCGGATGATGAGCAGGGTAATAAAAATATTCATTGTTGCCTAAAGATTTTTATCCTCCAATCAGAAAGCTTTCAGTTATTTCATATTAAAATGTAATCTTTGATTGGGAATGTTTCTCGTTCCAGGAGGAACTACCGCTTGATGAATTTCAACAAAGGGAGTAAATAATAATAATATTTCAGGTGGTGATAAATCTCCCGATAAAATTGAAAAACGACCAAAAGCTTCAAATCAGATTAAAACAGCATGAAATAACACTAAGGTAAAAGTATAAGATCTTATTAAACTCTCATACATCATAAACTCGTCCGATAGCATTTTCTTGAGATAATAATAATAATAATATAATATAGCTGTTTCTGTGTTTATAAGGCCGTAGGCCTGTCGCCTATTCTTAACAGCGCACAATATCCACAGCTACAGTATGTTGCGTGCTCGAACTCGCAACTCACTGCTTCTAATTTTCTTTGCTTAACCGCCCGGCCTTCTTATTGTAAATGCAATATTGTAAAACGAAGATTTGTGCTGAGGTTTGACAATGAGATAGCTGTGAGCACGACTAACACTCAAAGCAAGATGAGTGGTAAGGAGGAAGAAGATCGCTGAAAAAGCAGGAAGAGGCATAAAGTGAAAGTTAGGGTCTATTCTATTAAAAATTACACTATATTAAAAAAAAAACACAGACACTTGTTAACAATTCACAATCGTGATTACAGTCAGCAAGTGAACGCAGGGTCAGTGCAGGGAGAGGGTTCAACTATCGGGTTCAATAACGAATTTACTTCGGAAGCACACAGACGAGAAGGAATATATGTTTCAAAAGTCATGGAATTTGAAGCATTATAAACAATGATATAATGAACTCCACGAAAATGCAGGCGGAGGTTGAGGATTGTCGTTTGATTTTGGTAATAAGTAACAACTTTCTAAAATTTTAGGATTTAAGTCTAAGCTTTAATTGAATGATAGGATAAAAATGTAGGTTTGAACGCGCATGCAGTGGTGTATACGATCTACAGGATTTTTAGACGTGGTCTCGCTGGTATTTGTTTTGAGTTAAAAAGGATGGTTAAGGAAGAACGAAAATATATACTGAGATCTTCCATACTTACCAAAGGCACGAATGAAGTCTAGAGACGAGAAACAATTGTCTAAAATGTAATCTAAACAAACTCAAAGCGGTTTCTAATAAATAGCTCATAATGAACTGCAGGAAACGTATAAAATAAATACAAGTTACAAAGCACAATGTAATAGCCAATAGACACATAAATTAGTACAGCCAATCAATCATATAAAAAGTTTCTATGATTTCGACATGGTAATAAGCTTGAGGAGCTATTCCGAGCCTCATTTCATCAAATTTCCACGACTACATTAAAGGCTTCGGTATCCTACACTGTCTTATATTTTATTAATCCGAATCCGGCAATAATATTCATGTCGCGAAAAACAGAAAAAAATTGATTCAAATCAATTACTGTCAGTACTTAGCTGAATAATTACCACGAAAAATAAGCTTTTGCCTCAGATTACATAACTACCATTGATAGTGTTGATGCACTGACATTAAAAGCGAATAGCTCTAACATTGAAAGCGTTTACGAGTATTCGCCGCTTTTATTGCACCATATATGCTCAAAAGTCACAGTTTTACATTACATAAATTTTGCGAGCAAGGTGCGGCGATCGCGGTTTTACTACCGAAATATAGTGATGATGTGTGTGAGTACTGACCTCGTAATTATAGACAGTGATGGTTCCGGAGCCATCAGTCATGGGGTTATCATTGACATCATCCACCTCGATGGTGAGATGACGCAGACCTGACACGTTCTGCGAGTCACTCGTCACGAAGGGAACGAGGTAGCGCTTCTGCTTCTCCCGGTCCAGCGTTTCTTGCACGATCAGCTGATATTTGCTGCGAAATTAACCCGCAATTTTTGAACACATGATTACCGGGAGCCACACGGCTCAATTCTTCACACGGAAAATCTGGTCCTAACACTGTATAACTTATATCGCTACGTAATTCTTGTTTTGTTATTATTATTTCTTTATTTTACAGTTGGTTAATTTATTTTTTATAAATTGACGAAGATAGCAGCAAGTAGGAAACTTATTTCAAAGTAAAAAAACACTTTCAGTGCTTTGACAGTTAAAGTGAAAGCACTGAAAGTGTTTCTTCACACTATAAAGACCTTTTTAGAAGCTTGCTCAATGCTTCTTATAAGGACATGGTTATTTTGAAAGAACTGGGAAGTGAGACTCATAACTACTGCATTAGTTTCAACTTCAGAAATAAATAATTTTCGTTAGTGAATTCACTGCTCTCAACCCTTTTAAATATTTTAAAGAAGCTCGATCCGAGAAAAATTATTTTAAATGGATTCAACGCAAATTGAAATTTACAAATACTCAATTCACTGATAGTATCCTTGGTATTCCCTTTTCTGACATGAGCCCGTAACCATGAAAAATGTTAGATAACAACTCATCGAAAGGTGAGCGAAAATATAACAGTATTAAAGATAACATAAAAATATAACTCAGTGCTCACTGCAGTGAGTGACAGAGAGCGCATTTTCTCGTCGACGAAAACGTGAAGTCACGGACGGACGGACGGACAGACGAATGGCCAGACGGACATGGCGAGCACAATAGTGAATTTTTTTTCACAAATAAGAAAATGCACCAAAAACTGACATATTCCACGAAAAACCGATGCCCTCACTTGTTGACGGAGTCTCTCTCGACCCTGAAGAGGGTGAGCATGAGAGGGTCGACGTCGTGGTGGAACTCGAGCGTGCAGGGGCAGCCGTGCTCAGGGGCGTCCGCATCGTCCAGCAGGATGGGGATCGGCGGCACGTTCGCTGGCGGCAGGTTCTCCCGCACCCGCGCTCTGCTGTTGTCCTGCAGAATAAATTGCGTTTTCGGCTCAGAAAATGTTCTTCCGCCATAAAAAAGATAAGGCCATAAATCATAGGCCATAGGCCAAAAGATAAGGCCATAAATCATCGGTCTCATTGACGGGATAAAATTTGGGAATTTTGAAAGAAATGATTAAGTAAAATGGAAAGACAAGAAAAGTGGATAATATCCAAGAATTAATTTTAATTATCCAGCGATAATTCATTTAAAATCGTATTTTAGCTCTAATCAGGGAATTATTATCAGTGACATAAAAGGTAACTCTGATTTAAGAATGTTAATCTTCAAACTGACTGCCATACTATCAGTGACACGCACACAAGATTTGACGTAAAGGTGAGTTAAAAAAACTACTCACGGGGACTTTGATGTAAGGATGATTGTCATTGACGTAAAAGAGAGTTAAAAAAAACTACTCACGGGGACTTTGATGTAAGGATGATTGTCATTAACGTCGATGATGTTGACATTGATGACACCAGGCTCAGCGTTGATGCCTTTACCTCCTCCATCGTCTGCTCGTGGGTTGATGATCTCAGTGCCACCGAACGTTGCCTCGCGGTCCAGACACTGCGTTGATTAGGCGTTGAATAATTAGTGAATGCAGATGAATTAGTGAAAAATGCAGATGTTTTGAGAAATATATTTTTGAAGAATAAATAAAACAACAACCAAGCAACAACGTAGACTCGCAATACGAACGAAAGAAAGACTTTGGATAACTTTGTCGCCAGTGTGAACATAAGATGCTGAATAAATTTTTTGGATTAAAATCAATAGAGTCAGAGTCCTATTTTCTTCAAGCCTGCACTTAATTCCAGAAAATAAGATCACTTGATATTCACATGAAATTTAATTTCTATCATTTCAACATTATTGTATTTGCTCGTTAATGAATGTCTATACTATTTAAAGGTATGGGTTGTAATTTTCATTTGTCCCGTTTAATTAATTGAAGAGTAAAAACTGGTGCCCCTTACGGACAGATAATTGAAAACTCAGTCCGCAGTTCTCCCAAATACCTCAAAGATTTAGTTTCCACGAAGAACTAATGGACCGGAAGAATGGGCGATTTCTTAGTATTTCATTTCTAAGAAGAGCATCGTTAGAAAGACTCAAAAAAGAAAGTGGGGCCGAAGATCAGGCGATAATCCGGAAATTCAAGGAAATTAAAATTTTTTTTACCATTTTTCAATAATTTTACGAAGGTTATATAAGTCTTTAGACGTCGAAAAATGTTTATAAAAGTTATGTCAAAACGTAGCATAAAACGAAACCCTTTCGAATTAATTTGTCATATTTTAAGCGGTTTTTCTGATAGTTAGCACCCAATTAGAATATTTTTTTCTCATGGCAACCATCCAAACATCAACGACGCACAGCACCTTTGAAGAAAATCTCAATCTGTTGGAAACATCGCGCAGACAAGGCCTTTAAAACGTTATTTACATGACATTTACAAGCGATATGATATATTAATAATATTAACATAAATGAGTGTTAATGCGCACTACATCGCTGTTTGATGTTGTAAACATCCGAGGAGCTGCGGGAAAATGTAATCTTTTAAGTAAGGAGCCTCCTTGTAATGCCTGCAAAGCTTCTGCGATCCCTTGTGATGGTGGAGGCTTAGCCATGTCCGGCATCGGCCTGTACCTGCACCGACGATACGCAGCGCCGTCAACATGGTCTTCAATATAATATCTATAGATGCTTAAAAATAAAAGAATGGGAAATAGTTTGCCATTAAAATGGTTCGAAGAGGAAGACGCTTCGAACATACTGATAGTATCCGAAAAAGTTTTAAACTCATTCATATTCGCGAGACCAAAAATAAGGTGTAGAAACCATTGTAGAAATCGCAAAGTAGTTCTTAAGCTTTGAACAATTTAATACGCATCATTTCCGCTCAATAAAAAATCTTCTATTCTTCCTCTTCTCGAGCGCAACACTGCATACTTACCGCGGTCTTACAATCCAATTTTTACTCAACATTGAATCGTTCGCAATTTTGTCACTAGTTTTATTGTTTCCTTTGATTTGAACGGCCTGTCAGTGGAGGCGCCAAAAGCATCTACAGAAATTGGATGCGATGAATAAATGAATGCAAGAATATAATGCTTTTAAGTTATTGATTTTACTTGGTCATTGAATTACTTGGGTCATTTCGAGTACTTTCCGAAACATCTTCCTGATAACTTTACGCATAAATGAATTCGCTATACGAGTTCAACTCGCTACAAGTTTGCACCTCTCAACAAGCGTTCAACTGACAACTATTAGTGTAGCGAGTTAATGTAGCGAGTTCACAACTCGGTTTTTCAACTCATAACACGGATTTTACTCACTACACGATTTTTAATCACAACATTAGTTTACCTCACTACACGAGTTTCGTGGGAGAAAATTTCAACCGGGCTTCTTGAAGCTTACAATGAAGAAGCAGAAGGGCTCGTCATGTTAAGACAGAGCCGTGGGTCTCTATAATAATCATAGCTAATCTACAAGTGCACTAACACGGTCACATGAGTTTACCCGGTAATTAGTATTGCGCCCTATTTTCTTAAATTTCTATTCAAGTACTTAATTTGTTGTGCACAACCCTTGTTGAGTTATTCTTTTGTTTATGGCGCTATTGACGCATGCGTTTTTCACTTCCTTATGCCCGTCAAACTCAATGTCAGTACCCCGTATCGAATTATCTGCTAAATACTAAACATCTGCTTTTACAGCACCATAAATTCTTATCAAACGTCGGGAACGGTCTACTTTGATTAGCGGTTTAAATTTAAAAGATCAAAAGTTCAACTCTACTTTAACTGTTCAACCTAACCTGTAATGCCAATTAAGGTGTTCAAGTATATTGTGGGGCATTTAAAATTTGGAATAGTGGCGACAATTACACGTAACTCTCGCGGATTTCAATCACATCTAATGTGGCCGCGTACAATCTATCGTATGGAAAACAGCATATTGCCAATAAATAACATTCCTAAAAGCACCTTGTACCGGCACTCATTTGATTTAATAAGGTGAGCTTTACTCTGGAATTAATGCTATATTGAAGCTCTAAAATATTCACAGCAATGTTCTAGTGTCACCGTGTTTTTAACTTTACGCATTTCTTTACTCAGTATGCATTTTCAAATCTTCAAGCCTCGGCTCCCATTAAGCTGACCAGGACGATATTTTTTTCTAATTTTGTATAACCTCGATGAAAAGAACCGCTACCTATACGTGTACAGCTGAGATATCAAATTAAATATGTTTCAACAACTTTCATTGTCGTCACTGGCTTCAATCACTGTTAAATCATTATGAAATAATTTCTAGACGAGGATAACTCTATGCGCGAGAGAAATGCCCTATATATAAGCTCACCTCACAACACGAGTACACCTCACAAACAAGCCCTACACACGCCTCTGACGGAGACCCAGCCATCACAACTTCACCTCACAACACCTCACAACACAAGTCCTACTCACGCCTCTAACGGAGACCCAGCCATCACAAGTTCACCTCACAACACCTCACAACACCTCACAACACAAGTCCTACTCACGCCTCTGACGGAGACCCAGCCAGTCATCCTGTCGATGGTGAAGTTCCTGGTCTGCTCGAGGTCGAGGTAGTACCTGATGCCCTGGTCCTCCTGCTCAGCAGGCAGGTCGGGGTCGTACGCTCGTACCTGCACCAAAGTTTCAATAAAATTCGTTATTCGTCAATAAAACTTTTTTATTGCTTTACTATTGATGAGTCTTGAACGTTTACGCAGAGCTGGAAAAATTAAGATGAGAATTTTCCGTTCTCCTAAAAGCAGTGCATTTATTACTCATCTGCGTATCTAATCAGCGATGAATGATAAGGAGTAATGCTTCTATATGTTGTCAGGAAGGTTTAGAAAATATGGGGGAAGCAATTAGGCGTGTCAGCTGACGTTAGCATTACATTTAAAACAAACCACACAATCGTCGGTCGGTTGACCCACGTGTAAAAAGAGGCTAGAATTTTCATATTTACCATTTTACTTACCCTGGAATATTAGAAGTTGTTAAATTATTATTCATATAACTACTTTAGCAGTGAATCATTAAAAAAATTTATCGTACCAAATTTTGACAGTCGGAAACCACATATACACCTGACAACTTCTCAACGGCAGAGAGCTTTTAATTTTTTAATTGAAATATGAGAGTATTAATGAACTTTATTTCGCTGAAAACATTATTGTAAATTCGCAATAATGCAAATTTTCCGATTATTCATGTAGATAGATAACGAGCTCACACTGACCTGGACCTTCTGCACATCGCACTCTTGGTTCTCGACGACACTGATGTTGTAGGTGTGAGGCAAGAACACTGGCCGCAGGTCGTTCACGTTAGTTACGCTGATCTTGATGCCGGTGGTGTCGAAGGAGCGACCATCACTGACCGTCACCGACATCTCGAACTATTCCGGGCATTATTGGGATTTATTGCGCATTCCGAATTAAGATTAAAAATGCGTGTCCTATTGAACTATCAAAGATGATGATTCTTTACCCATTCGCAAGACATATTTTTACTGGATATGACATGGGTCAAGTAAAGAAAATGTGCTTTTTTGGATAATGAATAGGGAACCCAAATTCTTCCTAAAATCGCGGGAAAATACAATTCGAAACACTTCTTATATTTTAGAAGTGCTAAAAAACATTTTTTCGACAAAAAATTACTGAGATTTACGTAGATGATTCGTTTTATCACCAGCTGCCATAAAACAGAGACAATTCAAAAGTATCGATTTCGACGCAGTGTTCCTGACTCCTGCAGGTATATACAGTAATAATGATGCAGTAATGGCACAACTTGTGCTGACGTCATTTGTAGTTGTGCCGTTAGAAAACAATAGAAGCACTGACAGCTGTGATATTAACTACAATGGTCGAAAGCAACAATAATTTGCATGAAGTTCATTCTTGTCCGCATATTGGTGGTGCTTTGATAATTGCAAACTCAGACAACACAGAATGTTTGCACATACGAAGAAATATAAATTTTCTTCCAGTAAACGTACGAATGTTTGGAGAACAATTATACGATAACGAGAAGCATAACATAAAGTTTCAGAAGTGATACCCATTCTCTTACACCAATTCAACATTTGGTATAATATTAAAAGGGGAATTTGTTTATAAGTAAAACAGTTATAAGCAAAAATTTTGTAAAATGTATTATTTTTTCCAGATTATATTTTTTTATTTGGTAAAACTTCGGTGTAGAATTTTTTTATGCATTGTGCATTTAGAATTTTTTTTATGCCGTAGCGGGTAATATGATTCGCATTCCCATTACGTATGCTACAGTGATGAAATCCAAATAATAAATTTTATATTCATGGAAAAGGACTACATGTTTAAAATTCAGTAGCAATTTCCTCAGGCCCGAGTTGGGCACTCACCATGCGGTCGTTCACGGGACTGTCATAGTCGAGCTTTTTGTTGACGGTTACAGTGCCGGTTTTGGCGTCGATAGCGAACTTGTCGGCCTCGTTACCAGAGATAATTTGGTAGTTAAACTCGTTAACTGCACGAATCAAACACAATTGACTCATTAGCTGCAGATGTTCCATATTTCGAGCCATTATTTACACGCTAGCGCATGGAACATAAAAGTAGAATACAAAGTGTAATTGAAACTTGCTGCAAAATGAAGATATTCACTGACGTGAGGGATATGCCCTTGTTAGAATAGCAAGCGCTAATTTCATTCAATGAAATATTCAAATGCTATCTTACCATCACCCTGAATTTTTCTTCAAACCCCGAATGAAACTAAACAAATTAAATGAGAAATCGACCCCAAAAATTTTCCTTATTGCTTGCATTTTGAATAGATAAACTAACCGGACTTATTGATCACACCCATAAACAAAGTTCATCAATGATGGTGTGTAAGCGCTGGCAATCCATAAGAATTTAAACTTTCATTTATTACCGCACTTTCGTCTACTGACCATCATCGAGATCATCCACGACGAGCTGGATGCCGGTGTCTTTTCCGATTTCGAGATCTTCGGGAATCATGACATTATAGACGCCGAGGTTGAGGTTGAAAGTTGGAGGCTCGTCATTCACGTCGTTTATTGTAATCCAATAAAGGTTGTGACGATTGTGCCCTGTAATTTCATATTTCAAGCTTATAATTTGCAAACGCCTATAAGAGTTTATGATTTTCAGATGGAATGAAACAAAAATAGTAATAGCCTCAGTGGACGCTTTACACGAAGAAAGATTTGCTGACGTAACCGTTTAGTAAAAAGCAAATGCTCGACGATTACTTCAGTAACAGTGCAGTGTTGCGATTATCCGAGTAATTGGTGGTCTAGATTTTGAGTGCGACATCGTAATTTACTCATTTATGTTACTAGCTTAGTGATCGGAGTAGGATATATAATTGTGAGTAAATCCTGAAGACATTATTTGTTTCCAACAAAATTCAAACATGTTCGAGTCATCGCTGCTGTGTAAGAGCATTACTCGTAAGCATGGCTGCCGTAATAACAGTGAGCGTCAGGGCGCATCCATCAACAAGTTCACGACAAAGTCAGTAGGCAGAGTGTAGAACTCAAGGTGCAGACTGGCGGCATGTGCTGCTAGAGTTGTTCAGTAATTAATTACTTTGCTAATTATAAGTCTGCGTTGTAGTTCCGTGAAGACCCAAGCATATAATAGCCTTACTGCAGAACTACGTAGCTTTGGTAGCATTGCGCGCCGTAAACCTTCCAATTCCAAGCCATAAATTACAAATTTTAGTCAAATACGTTATTTGAGCGACTTTATCATATTAACTATGGATAAGTCTTAATTTGTTCATTCTTTCCAATATATTAATCGAAAATGAGACATAACTCAGTAATATATAATATATATATATGATACAATACAATATATGATAATATATGATATACAATAATATATGATACAAATGTGAACATCTGTAACATGAGCGAAGAAGTCTTCGGAGATTTGTTATTTTCAGTGGGAATTTTAATAAGTTGCGGAATAATTGCACTGACCGGGAGCGCCGTCCGTGACCTCGATGGGCACTCCATAGCTCCTCTTCTTCTCCCTGTCGAGCGTGTGCAGCGTCCAGATGTCGCCTGTGTTCGGGTCCACGCGGAAGTTCGTACGAACTTCCACGGGCGCGTCCGCCTTGATGCTGTACCGTAACTGCTCCAGGACAAAAACCATCGGGAAGAATTCAATTACTTGAAAAATACATTTGATTATATTGCTTCAGAAATTACACTAAACTGCCCGAAAACATGCGGCAACTTATTATCTTTGAACAGCTGCTGCGGCAAATCAATTTGTGACATAAAAGCCTTTAAAATAAAGCCGTGACATAAAAAGAAAAAAGAAAATATAACTCAATACTCACTGCAGTGAGTGACAGAGAACGCATTTTCTCGTCGACGAAAACAATAAGTCACGGGCAGACGGACGGACGGACAGACGGACGGACATGACGAGCACAATAGGGCATTTTGTCATAAATGAGAAAATGCGCTAAAAATGCGATAGAGCAAGATGTTCATGAAAAAAATATCAAACATTATTTTCTATATATGGACTGCATTACTTATTATACATGCAGCAATTAAGCAAGAGAGAAGGTGACGAAGCTGACCTGCTTGAACTCCGGCGACACGTCCTTGTCGATGGCCGTGGCCGTCATGATGAGGGAGTTAGGGTCGCTGTTCTCGCTGATGACGCCGCTGAAGGGGTGCTGCAGCAGCGGCATCTCGTCGTTCACGTCAAGCACGCGTACGGTCAGTGAGTGGTCGATGCGAGCGTTCGAATTCTGTGTGCAAATACAATAAAAGTTATTGAAGATACTCAGACAACAAGAGATCAATTAGAGCGTAGAATTCGTTTCATTAGAGGCCGGTATAGAAAAGTCTTGACTTGTTCTAGAGCGTCGACATCTTGCGTTCAAAACTTAGCCATGTATCGTAGCGAATTACGACTGTTGTATTACGCTACAATTATCTAGCCAGCTTTATAAATAAGTGAATCGAGAGTTCAAGTTTTAGTGGAACAACGAATTAAATGTGTGTAAAAGAAGCAGTTACAACATAAATTATATACATATAAAATTGAAAAAGGTGCCATAATCATGATAAGGCAATGGCGAGAAGACGTTGGTGCCGTAAGATGCTTGTCAAGTTTCTGTGCACGATGCAAGATTCTCAATAATTATCCATAAAAATTGACTTCTTCTGAATAAGTGTTTATCCATAAAAATTTACTTCTTCTGAAAAAATGTAATACGGTAGACTCACTGAGACTTGCACGATGAGCTTGTACGCGGTGATGACCTCGTAGTCCATGTTGGCCACCGCCACGTAGATGACAGCGCCGACGGTGTTGAGGGGGCAGCTCGCTGTGCCGTCCTTCCTGGAAAAACAAATTGAATCGCGAATTAAAACTATGATGCTTCAAGCTCGACATCTTAAATGGTAAGTTGATGATACTACAATAAGGGAAATTTGTTTATAAGTAAAAAAGTTATTTGTACAAATTTTCCAAAAATGTATTATTTTTTCGAAAGGATATTTTTTTAATTGGTATAACTGCTGTTAAGAATTTTTTTTATGCATTATGCATTTAGAATTTTTTATGCCGGAGCGGGTAATATGATTCGCATGCCCATTCTGTATACCACAGTGAAAAATAAATGCAAATAAAAAATTATATTCATGGAAAATAAAAACAAATTTTATTCGCAGTCAACACCCATTCCGTATGCTACAGTGACAAATAAATTCAAAATAATAAAATTCGATATTCCTGGAAAATAAAAACAAATTGCATACGCAGTCAATGTAGACATTGAATTTCATTATAGTAATCGTAAATTTTAGTGACTCGGTAGACGAAAACATAAGCTCGCCTGATATCAAAGGTTCCGTCGCCGTTCATAGAGGGAGTGTTGCCAGCGAAGAGCGTGAAGTACACGTCGTCTCTGTTGTCCGTGTTAGACCTGCGCCGGGGCAATCAATTGCACGCAATTGAGGTAAACTAGAGCAAAATTTCATTACAATGCAGTGAGTGAAACTCACTGCATCCTGTTTTCATCTTAGAATAACATGTTTTCCCTAAATTAAAATATATTTATATATTTTAATTCATATTTTCCATTCATTAAAATTCTAAGACCATGCGAGAATTTGTGCCACTATAATTTTGCATTGATATTGAAAAAAATATCGTTGATATTGAAAAAAATATAGTATATTGATACAAATATCTAAGCATATCAAGAGCAACGTCTGTTGCGCGACACTCTCGACAACACAGTCACACGCTAATACGTGTCGAGGGCTAAACCATACAGCCTGGAGCAGGTTATATTAAAGAGTGACATTAAAATTTTAAGGCATTAGTAAATGATATTAACGGGCAATCTCCAATGGAAAATTTTAAAATAATGTTGTTAAAAAATATAGAAATTATTTAGAATATATTAAAAACATGAATATTACTATTATATTACATGATATTTTGTTTTATTAACTAGTAAAATAATACAAGAAGTAAATGGTAAAAATAAGCAGGGAAACTATAGCAAAGCTGCTGCGTCGTAGCATCATTGCATGCAAAAATCCCCACTGCCGCAAAATGGGGATATATTTTTCCAAATGACGATTAAAAAGATTGTAAGAAACTGCGCGATCTCTTGTGCGTATAACAGGCTTCCTTATCTGAAGTATAAGTGGGTTTGGACTCCGCTGCACGAGGTTGATGTTAGTCACGACATTTTGCTCTAGATGATAAGACACAAAAAATCAAAAGTAATGACCTACGAAGCTGAATAACACAAGTAACTGCTGCTGAAGGTACTTACGTGGCACAGAGCTGGGCGACGATGGTGCCGATGGTTGCGTTCTCCCTGACCTGAGGGCTGGGGTCCCGCTCCACCACCGAGGGCGCCACTTGATCTGAGCCCACGACGTTGATGCGCACGCTGGCCGAGCTCGACAGGGCCGGAGTGCCCATGTCTTTTGCTTGCACGCTCAGGCTGAACGCGCGTACGTTCGCCTTTCAGTAAAAGAAACCATTTAATTTTTTGTTTACTTTTGAATTAAATGTTTATTTTAGTTAATGAAAGTGGGAAAACTTAAGTTCATTTAATTAAAAATGAACTAAAAATAGCTCAAAATATGAAAAAATAACCGAAAACGCTGGATGAGGGAAAACACGTAAACAGAAACTTGGCATAACAATAGAACTAAATCTCTTTCCAGCGACAGACACAAATCGTCACAACGAGCGACTTCATCAAGGAAGTCACTCATCAAGTCACTTCACTCACCATGTCCTCGGAGAGCGGCCTGACGAGTTTGATGTAGCCGGAGTCAGGTTGGATCGTGAAGTAGTCGTCTCCGCCCGAGATGCTGTACTGGATGACGGCGTTGACGCCAGAGTCTGCGTCAGACGCAGTCACGCGCAACAGGTTCACGTGCGTCTCGCTGTCTGCTGGGATGTCCTGGGAGTACGACTGCCAATACCAACAACACACACAAAATTATGAGCAGAATTGTGATGCAATATAAGTACAAAGCGTTATATACATTAGTTTATATAAATATCAGGTGTATAACGGCACCTTCTCTGAATAAGGAATAGAATGATGGTCAGTGTATAAATATTAAAAGCTATTATTAAAAATATATTATAAGTGTTTCGTAGAATTTCATTATATAATTTAAGAGCAGGAAATGTTTAGGATCATGAATAAGCACTACGCAAACAGTACGGAAAAGAGTAATGTACAAAATAAATATTCCCATATTGTGCTCAGGTACGATGGTGCTTTTCGAACAAAATTTATCCATTGAGATCAAAGCAGAGCCCGGACAGCAGCAAGGCACGCACCGGCTGGTCGAAGACAGGCACGTTGTCGTTGATGTCCTCAAGGATGACCTCGAAGGAGCAGGAGCCCTCGAGGGGCGGCGACCCGCCATCCCGCGCCACCACCGTCATGAAGTACTCCTTCCGCCCCATGTCGCGGTCCAGGGGCTGCACCAATATTCAGTTATTAAGTGGAATACGAATTAATATTTAAAAACAAGATCACATATCTCTTTCCTTCCGCCCCATGTCGCGGTCCAGGGGCTGCACCAACATTCAGTTATTAAGTGGAATACGAAATTAATATTTAAACACAAGACTACACATCTTTTACTGTTTCGTGTATAGCAGGTCGATGACTTATCACTTGAAAAAAACCGTGACCATGGGTGACACTTCACACCGCTTAAAAAATACGATTACAAGGTTAAATTAGAGTTTCTGATATTGGCGGAAAAATTCTTGTTTGATTGATATTTTCTCCAATGATTATTTCATTACATCAATGAGAAATATTCTATAAATGCCCGCATTTATTTTATACGAAAGAAGGTCAGTCCTTAATTTTTACTCCCTCAACACACCAGAAGGAGAAGATGGGACGCAAGGAATACTTTTGAGTAAATTTTCTTAAACTGACGTCGATTAAAAATCCTCTGTAACAAGAAAAAAGTCACGCTAACATCTGAACAATTGGAAAACAAATTCCAATCTTTTAGTGGAATACAAAGGCTGATGGCGAATGGAATTTAATCAATGCAAGCATGACGTGCTTCCTGTGCAACGAGTATGGCAGTATCAAATATCGTAGAGTTCGACTGAAGACTTGAGGTTGAGACATTCAATTGCCGCAGACGAAGTCTCCAGGGCACACAGACAAAAATGAGCTGATGTGTGTCGGTGTTATGAGGTTCTGAGCTTTCAGGGACATTGATTCCCGATGGTTAGCGCCCGATTTCTTAAAGCTATTGAATTTGCGTTATTTAAAAACATGAACGGTGCATTTATGACCTCGTCCTAACATTTAATATAATCAAATTGAATTGTTGAGTATTTGTGATACTTGTTCAGACTCTGACTAGACAGTGCCATAATGGATGACCCAAATGCATTATTTGGCACCGGAAAGGGTATAATTAACCATATAACATCACGTTAAATAATATATTATTTTTATGTAATTCCATTTTATGTTTAGGAAAATACCCCCAATATTCTTCAGTAAATATCACGAGTTGTGCTAGCCAAATGAGAATAAGTTTGTAACAGAGTTCGCCAGCTTGATAGGTCCCCGGCTGCCACAGCTCACTCACCGCTGTGGTGGAGATTTGTCCGCTGCGCTCGTCGATGACGAAGTCTTCGATGTTGCCCAGGAAGCTGTAGGTCACTTGGCCGTGCACGCCTTGGTCTCTGTCTGTCGCTTTTACCTCAATAAATAACATAAAATCGGTCAATTATGGATAAAACTAGAGACAATAAATAACATAAAATCATTCAGTTATTGATAAAATTGGAGTTCAAAATGTATATTAGGCGAAACAATCATGCAAGTAGAGATTAATATCTTAATATCACAGTCTCACATACAGAAGTTCCTTCAATAAAATTTTAGGAACAACGAAAATTCGATTGGAAAGGCACTCACGATGATGACGTTGGCGGGATCCGTTTGGTTTTCCTTCATCATGAAGTTCTGATAGCTCTGACACTCCGTGAACACAGGAGGGTGCGTGTTCTCGTCTGGAAAAAATGAAAATCTTGTTATTTCCCGTTAATTTTACAAGAGCCATGATGAGATGGAAATAGAATGATGCAAAATTTTAATGGAAATTTAATGTAATTTTTCGATCAAGAAAGTTTCTTGTCATCTGAGATCTTTGAGTGTAACATTAATATTAGCGTTAGGTATAATAAAAATTAAATTTTAAACGGGACCAATTAAGAAAAAATTTCGAACAATTCGAGAAAAAGTAGTTTTATTGCACGGAGAATGAACATTAATAGCAGAGAGAGTATACATTATCATTACATTGATAGCGATATTTCTTAAAGCTAGTGAATTTTTAACATTTCCACCTGCATACACTTCGTTTATTCGAAGCCAATGATGAGGAGAATAGAAGCATGCGAGATTTTTATTACTACGAGTGGATGAGGAGCACGAAGATGACCAAATAATTTAGTCAGGCTTTTTATTATCTCTACAGTAACTATCAACGAAATAAAAATGAACGGATTGATAGAAGCGAAAAACCTAAAATTTGCACACGAATGGAGATTACAGAAAGTTCATCCTGATAACAATCAATGGGTTCACGGATATAATATATAGAAAGGTCACGCAATTACACGTATACCTTTTTTACAGCAGCGTGTGGAGGTACGTAATCAAGTTCGTCAATACTTGAAAAGAATGACACTATTTTCTCTCTTAAATTCTCATAAGAATGCATATATTTACATTGATTACGTTGAATTTCCCTCATCGGAGAACTTAGGAGCTCGAGTGTGGCTTATAACACAGCATTTCTCAGGAAATTACTGCGACTCCAGCGTGTGGGAAGAACCAATATTGAGGAGAGGAATTCATTAATAATCCGCTGGGGAAGAAAGCTTTGATGTTCATTGTGAAGAGGATTGCGCTTTCAGCTTTGATAAGAAAACTTTGAGCATGGAAGATGGAAACGAATTAATCAATATCAACGTCGCGAAGATTAAAGAGAATTGAACGCAACTGAAACCGATGATATTTAAGTCGAAAGGAGCCATCGAAGGCAGAAGGAAGAAATGAAACAAGACAAATCTAAAAAAATGGCCCAAATACAAAAAAATTTCAAAGCATTCCTCAAGCACCGTGCTAAAATCCAAAAGTTCCTCTAAATAATAGACGAACAATCGAAAATAAACATGCTAAAACAACCTAACAATTATATGAACAGAAAAATGCAATGGATGTGCTATAACTACTTTCGTTTTCTGGTAATCATGGTTATTGCACTAAAAAGCGTTCGGTATCTATGAAAATTTTTAGCGTTACTTTACATTTGATTTCATTAAACCCACAAACCAACCCACAAATTAAACCCACTATATTGCAGCGAAAAGTAAAGCTTGCATGAAATTCGATCGTCTGTCTAAAGTAAAAGAATTGTAACAGCGGGTGAAATCATACAAGATGTGTGTTTATGTCGTTATAAATTTTTTGTGTACACGCAAAGAGCTTTTAGATATGAAAAATATGTTCAAGACAAGCTGTTAAATTGTATAGATTGCGCAAGGTCTGCTTTTGTCAAATCAACAAATTTTTAACACTCATCGAAAGTTCATACATGAAGTAATTAATGAAAAAGGTGTGCAAGTTTGCTCTGAAAAACAAACTGAGTTTCACGTGATGCATCAATTATTTGTTTTGATATTTAACAACATTCTTGTTGTCAAACAGAACTTAATGTGCAAAGAAAAATGTACCCAGAGGCCCGCAGTGTCTAAATTAAGTCAGACAACAGTGACATTTTATATACTCTCGAGATCGACGGTGTCAGCGACGCTCGTTTATTTGCATGTTAAAAAGCCAGCCATGGCAGTCATGAAAAAACACCACCGCCACGCATCCTAGTGCGTGTCATGCATACACCACCGCCACGCATCCTACTGCGTGTCATGCATACACCACCGCCACGCATCCTACTGCGTGTCATGCATACACCACCACGCATCCTACTGCGTGTCATGCATACACCACCGCCACGTATCCTATTGCGTGTTGTTTGAGTGTATCTCGGTAACAGAGATTAAGTCGCTGGTGAATGCAAAGTTCGAATGCAGCAAAGATGAAACTTCCGTGCTTCAGTAATGCTGGTTACTAGAACTACGACATATTTAAATAAAAAATTACTGAATTTATTTCGCTAAGCATTCGAGTTTAACTATCTCAAAATAAATCTGGGCTATATTATGAATAGAAGCATATGTGTGTGCAATTTATCAGTTGAATTCAGTCAAACGCGAGGTCGAAATTAATTTGAATCGTAACTCTTTTTTCTAATCGCATGCACACATTATTTCAGAGTCTAGTAGAATAATTGTTGCCACTGTGTGCAGAAGTATAGCACAAATTTACAAAGGATGTGAGAGGGGGCGCACTGCGAGGCACCCAGACTCACCGTGGTTATTCCAGTATTCTTCTTCACATGAAAAGCGATGCAACGAAAAACTTATTAGGTTTGTAGTACAAAGACACATGATACGATTTTACAATGAACGTTAAGCTGAACTTTCGAATGTGCTAAACCTTTTAAAATTAAACGCCTGTCACATATTAAAATAGTGATTATGATTGAAACTTTGTGAGTTGAAGCAGTTCTGATATGACCTAATAAAAAAAATTAAAACAGTAAAAAGGTACTCAGAGATATTCTTGCGACACATGGTATCGTTTAAAAGTGTCATGTCATAATGAAAGCAAATTGGACGGGATTGAATTGAAAATACGGGACAGAAATAAAAGATATACTTATCAAGGAATTCTAAAAAATTAGAATTGATTGCTACAGTAGATCAGACAAAATTGAGATCAAAATATACTTTTTAAAAATAAATGAAAAATCGTACACTTGGCCGAAAATACGAAAAAATATTTTAGTCAGAGAAAGTCTGATTTAAATTATAAAAATTGTTCAACATGTGTCCAGGGCAAAATAATTTCATGCAGTGGATCTGTTACGACAGAGTGAGAAGGTGGCGCGCCTTACACGCGAGCTACGAGTGTAAGTTATGCAAGCAAATATAGCGTCTATTTTACACGCGAGCTACGAGTGTAAGTTATCAGTTATGGCAAGCAAATATAGCGTCTATTTACACACCTGCCGTGCTAGAGATCCGGTACGCTATTAGAGCGCCAATCACGTCAGCGAGAGAAAAAGAAAACATCTAAGTTCGTTTCTGGATGAATATTCAAGTATTTTAGTGACTAACTCAACGAGTAAATATATTAATTATTCAAACAATAAAAAAAGCCACACTAACTCAAGAAGCACAATCATCTCAAATATGATGATAAAATGTTATTAAAAAAATAATAAAAATCAGTAACGAAGACATGCTGAAGCTAAAAATTTCTCCTGTTATTATTAAAACTCTTTTTATTGTATCTGATGAAGGAATTCCTTGAAGGATGGCGCACGATGATGAAGGATGGCGCATGCATACAAACGAGAATCCTTTTCCTAATCGCTGTGTGATGAAAAGTTTTATTTATTAAAGTCCACAGGATGGCCATTTTGAACTTTAATTGAGATTAATTATTTATACACGATAAAAATTTTAATATAACAGACCAAAAAGTTCATCGCAGATGTAAAAAGACTTTCGATATCGGACATCATTAGCGAACAAATAAAGTTTGTATGAAATTCATGCTTACAAAAATAAATGATTAATTTTAATCATCGAAGCCTTCCGAACTGCCTTTAAGAAATACGCGTGTGTAACTTACCAAGGTATGGCATGTAGTCATCGGATGCTTGAAATGAAAGGCAAACGTGCTAAATTTAGAGCTTTTCACGCAAAGAAATAAGATGGGCACTCTGAGACACGAGTTTAGTGATAATTCCAAGTGTTAGATAAATGGTGAACCGGGAATGGTCGCGGCCTGAACCAGGTGCATAATTGTCCAGAGGTTGAAGTTGATTTGCTAAAAATTGTCCAGAGGTTGAAGTTGATTCGGAAACGATATTTACACGTGGAATATATCATAAATGACTACAACAAACGGAAATTCTTTGACTCGATAGTTTTTTGTGATACGTGAAAAATACAGAAAGCTATGACAGAGAAGAAAAACAAAAATGATCTTCGGTATATTATTATTCTGTAAGATATTATATGATATTATTATATATTATATCATATTATTATATATATAATAATAATATATTATTATATGAATTAACACCCAAATAGAGGAAAACCTATTATAGAGTGACAAATCTCTACATTAAAACGGATCCAAACTCGTGAATAGTGTTTCAGTAAACTTGCGGCTCCCTTTGTTGCGGTTCCTAACAACGATTAGACCTGTACGAAATTGTGTCCTTCTTGAGATTTAAATAAGGAAGATTATTTATAATCGCTGTAGCGATGACATGCAATGATGGTTTGGATGCTATTAATATTTACAGTAAAAATCTTGAACGAATGAATAATGAAAAATTATATTTACACATTATTCCCAATGTTCAGAATAGTATAAATTAGTTGAGGAACACTAGTAATGCGGCGATTCTTCATCAAAGAGAATGATACTCAGGAAATGACTGGCCGATAGCAAAAGAATTAAGTTTTCGAAAAAGTTATCTCAACCAGAAAATTTATTTTATAGTCTAAAAAATATGCAAGCCAAACGCTCGTAGTGAATAATTTAGAAACTTAATTTGCAGCATGAATTTCAAGCTGACGAGAACCATTGCATTGCAAGCTATGTTGTCACCCCTCTCTTTTGCAGGAAATAATCATTCGTTTGTGATGTTCCTCTACAACTATTCAGTGAAGTGCTGATTGTAGATAAATAAATCGGAGGAAAAAGGAGATGCACGGATAAGCTTTGAGTCATAATGGTACTCACATAGCACTCACTGATAACACAACGAGAAAGCAAAAAAAATCACAACACACAAAGCACGAACTTTTAAAAACAGTTCAAACATTTTGTGATGAGCTAGAGTGCTTAGAAAAAAGTGGTTACCGTTGAAGACTACGGCAGTAAGAACATTTACTTTTTGATGACAGAATTTTCTGTTAAATTTGTCTAAAAACATAATAATAAATAATAAACCGTTTTCGCAAAATTCAAGGTAGAAGAGTCGACAGATAAAATTAATCGAAAAGTTCACTTATACATTCAACATGTAACGGAAACAAGTAGTCAATATGGTGTAATTTTTTTGTTCATGATGATTTTTCGCAAGTTAATTAATTAGACGAATTTATGCAGCAAAGTAATTGAGTTACTCACCGATGATCTTAACGCTGACAGGGACGGTAGAAGACGCGCCCTCCTCGTCCGTGGCGACGGCCTGGAACGTGTAGCTGAACTTGTCGCTGCCACCGCGCTCGCCAACAGAGATGATGCCAGACGCTGCGTCCACCACGAACTGTTCGGTGGTGAGGCTCTCTTTAGACTATGCGCATGTTTCATTGAGTGGAAGGTAATGAGGCTCTCTTAATTTAAACTATGCATATATTTCATTAAGTAGAAGGTAATGAGGCTCTCTCCTACAGAGATGGTGCCAGACGCTGCCTCCACCACGAACTGTTCGGTGGTGAGGCTCTCTCTCTCTTTAAAATATCAGCATATCTTTAATTTTAATGTCGCGTCTTTATTCCCTAGGATTTTAATACGTGCCATATCAGTTTCGATGCTCCCATAATAATGAAGGATGCTTCAAAACATACTACTTAATTTTTAAAATGAGGAACATATTAAAACACTTTCGTAGTAAATTGTCGAATGTTTAGGCATGTGTTCCATTCTTTTCATCGGGGCTCCTAAAACTGTCATATTAGTAAGATAGACAGCACAATGTTTCTATTTCACAACAATAAGAACAATATATTTCATAGATACCTAGCAGGATCTAGACAAAAAAAAAAAAAGTTTTTACAGACACACAGCGCTTGCAACACACTCACGTGGTTGGGAGGAGACACCATGGCGAGGCTGTAGGTAACGAGCGACCGCTCAGGATCCCAAGCAATGACCCGGCCAACGTATTCGCCTGCACAGAAGAAATGTTCCATTCTTCATAGGCAAGTAATCACAGTAAATATCCTGATCTTCCTTTAACTATTATTGCGACTCTTTTGAAACCCTGATCCTATTCGAAATTTAGATGTTGTGTGTAATATTCATATGATTTGAAATAAAATAAGCTAATCTGTGAACATCGCGATATGAAAATGCAAAACGTGATGCCGTGAATTAGAACATTTGATCTAAATTTAATGCAGTATGTTTAACTGAAGTTAATTTTTAATGTAACTTCTACAAAAAGCGGATTTTTTAAAATAATACTCGACTATATTATTTATAAACAAAAAAAAACATAATCACCTATAGAAAATTATCTAGGAAATCTGTGACAATAATAACAAGAATTCGTTATTTTTTGGCGAGCAGACAACCCACTACCCACACTGTCAGGAATGAACCTGGTGTTCACGTCAGATTTACAGAATAAACGGAAATTTGTAGTCCCGATAGTTTTAGTCTCGTCAGCCGCAATTTTAGCGGCTGACGAGTTTTATTTTATTTAGTTTTAGTCTCGTCAGCCACAATTAATTATCTACTGCCGAGATGGCAACCCACTCCCCACTCTTCAACAAATGTACCTGGTGTTCACGGCACTGTACGTCCCGCATTCCCTACCTTGCAGCGAGAACTCCGATATGGCGAAGTTGTAGCTTGGCGAGTCGAACTCAGGCGCCTCCCGCGTGTCTCGGATGACCACAGAGACGGGCACTTGTGCCCACATGGGCATGGCGGTGCCTGGGCAAGGTAAATTGTTTTATGTGCATGTTCAAAAATTAAGGTAAGGTGACGGCAAGTCAACATCTTGTTCGAAAAGGTTGCGTAAATGTTCAATGTTAAAAAGATTGTAAAGCATGAAATACCAAAACATCATTTGAATTTTGGGTATGGAGAGGAGAAATATACAGCAGAGGAGCGAAATTGTTAAACAGAATCAAAAATTTTTAAGGCATATAAAAAATTTAATTTGAAGGAAACATTACAATAAAAAAATGGACGCCATTTAAATTGACTGATTTTTAACGAGGCTTCGCCACTCTCCGTGCAATTCCGTTACTTAAAAAAATTGAAGGGCAGACAGGATGGGGAGCGAGCACGAATGCTAAAAAGCGGGAGAGATTTAATTAATCTGTCAAGGCAAGGGGAACGAGAGAGGCTGAATAAAGAATAAATATAGGCAGGAAAAATAAAATAATTACTAGGAATTTATTTAAATCAGGTCTAAGAATGACTGAGCTTACGCAATTAGTTTAGAAAAACGCGGAAGCCTTTTTTTTAATTCAATTATAACATTGGTCTTTCTCGTTGTAAGAAAACATGAAAACTTAGAAAAAAGCATTGATTGGAACAAATTTTATTTTAGCTCATTCATTTTCATGAAATGTAATCTTTCTCACATAACACATGTAAATAATACACTTGTATAATACGGGCCTACGACACACAAGCACACAAAGGGAACATTTAGCAGGAGATGACGTAACATTGATTAAGATCTCGTGCGTCAAGCTGAAACCGTATGAGGTAAGGAAAAGTTTGCGATTAGGATATTATAACTAATCAAATAGTTTAAAGCATAAAGAGCAGTGAAAATTAGCGGAATCAGGAGTCGATAAAAAATTTCAATAATCGATATACCATGCTCTAGGGACCTTTAATACTAAAATTAATTAGTTCAAATCAACGTGCAGTTTTCCCACAATTATTGAATCTATATACTGTAAATACACTTTCACTTCTGCATCAAAAACATGTAAAAAGCAAGAAACGCATGTATATTTAAATACTTTAAATACAGCATTGCCCGAAAAAAGAAAGCATAGAAATAATACGTGTATAAATTCGCAATTTCGTCAAGCTTATATGCCCTCACATCTGCAACACTCACAAGAAGTGGCATCAATAATATTTAAATCACCACGCTAATTAAGGAGTGACATGCAAAAAGCAGGATTAAGGATGCTCAAAATCAAAGGCCAGTCTTAGGTACAGCAAGCGGTAAGGTACATGCAACGGAGGACGAGATATAACGAACAAAAGTACGGTTTGACTGTAGGAATAATACTGAAATGTGAATTGTAGGAGTTGAGACAAGTAAGATGAAAGGGTATTGAGGAGCATAATAAACATAATTTTTGCATGGAAGGAGATTTACCAAAGTTTTTGTCAGCTTTAATTTGTCAATAAAATTTATAAATTAACAAACCCGGGAAAATCTTCTAGTCCATATGATTAAAAAACTTCAAATTACACCAATAATTTTTCACACAAAATTTTTTACAAAGAATACACAATATGTACACAAGTTCAACTCCGGAGATGACACAAACAATGTAAAATCAATAAAATTCGGTAGAGCATCGAAGGATGCGTCGATCGAAAAAGAAGGGTTGGGGACCTCATTCACTTCTCTTTCATCAATGAGAACAAAAGTGAAGCACAGTAAAGCTGATCTTAAATCGAACGTGAACCCGTAAAAATAATTCAAAGCTTTCAAGAAAACTTCTTCGCAGAGCCTGAGTACTCAAAGTGATGGACAACACGAAGCATCTGAGTCAAGCGCTCATCAAAAATACGCGAGTTAGCCTTGGTCGATTTGATTGATTAAATCGATGTCGGGCCATAAAATCGCACTAGATTCTTCTAAATTCTAGTTTTATTTATTTTTAAAATCCAGTTATTTTTAGTTTTGAAATTATATTAAAATAAATTCTATGAAATTGGCTTATTTGAGATGTTTGAAAGACATGAAGAATCATTTAAAGGGATAATGAAGTCTTTGTTTGAGACTATTAGTGCAATTTTCAGTTAATTATTACGGAAGGCCTAATTTCATCGGTTTTAGAATGAAATACTGACTATGAAATTTGAATTAACTACCGATAATATAATTCGTTTAAACTTGGATCAGCCAGCAAATCAAGTGTACTAAGCTCTTCAAAATACATAACAAACGTAAACACTTTAAAGAATATACACAAACTACAACCATAGCTTGAGCAACCAGGAAGTCTAAACCTCCACAAAACATCGATCGAGTTTTATATCGCGATGTGTTTGTTCTCAGGAGGCATACGGAAAACAAGCGCTTCTCTACCCAATCTTAAGCCGTCTGTTAACAGCCCTTAGGCGAAGAGCCTACATATAGCCTATTGTTACACACAATTAATCAGCACTTGCGATAAGCAGAATTCCAATGTTTGAAATCACATTGACAAAAAAAATTCCTGTACTATCAAAATATGTGCCAAAATTAGATAAAATTTTGCATTTTATGAGCTGCCAGTCAAGTCCCATACGCGCTAGCTCTGCGTTGATTTCTTACACAAAAGACGACAGAAAGCAAAGTCAAGTCTACCGTACACTACATTCCCCACCACAGTAGAGATACACTAACAGTAGTCTTGTAATGACGTAATGCTGGGATGCATTAACGGATTAAATTTTGCTACGATTATCACGAGCACAAAAGATAGCCCGGCTCAGTCGTGGTGAGAACAAGCAGAGTGCGGAAGAGCTTGTTGATAATATAAATTATCCGGACGCCATGGTCAAGTTCCCGCAGTGCGTTGACGAGTCACCAAATGTACTCATATCTATGCTCGATATGCATACGATCCACTAACGTGCAACCCACTTACAGACATTGGGACAAGCAAACGTTTCAATTTGAGCGATAACAGACACACGCCCGATTGCTTCATTGTAGTCTGGCGACTGGTAAAAGATAGGACTTACAGGAACTCTTTAAGACTCATTGATGAGTGACATTGCTAAGTGTCGGTGTTAAGCCAAAAAATTACAGGACAAGTCTATTTTGGGTTTCATTTTTCCATTCACCAAAGTTTTCTTCGTAAACTGTACAGTTGGTGACGTCAACACACTGCGGGTCTGAGGACAACCAAAAGACATACGCATGGCTTGACTCCTAAGAGGGTGACCACCCTGCCTTGAGTGAAGCATCAGGGCCCGATTTATCCACCCTGTGAGATGAAAACTTCTAAGATGAAGGAATGACAGCAGATAACATTACTTCGCGAAGCTTAGGAGTAACACCACACGAACACAATTAAATAAAATCACCTAGGAATATTAGACAATAATATATAATTAGTGTTTACACCAAGGAAATAGTTTCTACAAAAAATCACTGGATTCTCAGGAGTACACGACACAGTCACAATAAAAGAGTTAAAATAAGTAAATCAGTACCATAGTTACTTTTAATTGGGATAAAGCACATTTAAAATATAGGAAGTTTATGAACCGAAGGAAGTAAAACAGGCAAACGAAAAAAGGATAAAATCACATCAGATGTTAGCCCTCAATTGTGTGCATCTCTGTTCTACCTACGAAACGGTTATTTACAACAAGAACGAATCGGTACATTCCTAGAAGATCGAGCGCAATTGAGCGCAGCCTCAGACAATCAAGCGTCATGATTGCGTTTCGAACGATTAACGGATGCCGATCTCATGGAGCGTCTCAACTGAAAAGCATGAACTGTTTGCGCCAGATATTGACGTTCGCAGATGTGACGTACAATATAGGTACGAACGTTTGTGACGTACTCCATTGTGGAACTGGCATCATTGTTTAATAGAAACCTCATAAAAATATACGGTTGACCAGCATTGTAAATTTGTTCACCTCATAGCTCCATACGCTCACATCTAATTGTTTCACATCTTACGTTGCCATATCAAGGCCAACTGAGATCAGGTGACACCCAAAGCTTAAAAAACGTAGCCATTGAAGCGACGAGGATATCTATTCCGCGAGCAAAGTACATACAAATTAAATTTTATTATCGCAATCATCACAACGCATCAGGTATTGGAAGTTGTTACTAGTCCAATGTAATAATTATGTTCTCTCGGTAAAAAGAGTGGATGAGATTTCTCTCGACAAAAAGAAGAAAGTATCGTAATGAAAACGGAAATTTTATCTCGTGACTAGAAAATATTAACTATCATTTTAAACTTGAATAGTAAATCAATACATCTATCAATCGATATATGTACATAAGAAACGGAACAAACATAAGATATAATAATTTTTTCTTCGGTTTAATCAAATGGATCTGGAAGAAATCCTCCCTCACAAAGAGCAACTAAAAACAAAAATTTTTTCATGCGTGACAAAATACAGTTCCCGCTACATAACGAATTACTCACAGAAGCGACAACCAAAAGCTAAGCTAAGTATAATCAGTTTTAAGAATTACTTAATCGTGGAGGGATATTTAAAATAGGGATCGAACAAACCACAAGAAGTAACAATTCAAGTGAAATTACAACGAGTTTTAAATAATAATATTGTGAGGAATGCGATTCGTGATAGTAACATGAATGCTTGAGATTCGAAAATGTAATTTCATCACAACCTCAGCATGTCTTCACAAGCAGGGTGTCGTAAATACAAGGCTTGAGCCGCCAATGTCTTCATGTAGTTTGCTCAGAGGTTGTGCAATGAAACGATACTTGGGAGAATTTTATCTTCACACGGCCAAACTCATGAAATTTATTCCAGAATGGTTTGTGTCAAATTGTAGAATTATTCATGACATTGCTTGGAATTATATATCTCAAGAAAAATCATATGAACCATTACAATTAATTGGTGAGGTGTTGATAAAGCACAACTGCAAACAAATCGTCCTCGGAGAGGTGACAAATAACTGAGTGCAAGAAAAGATATCTATAAGTTATAATTGCTAATCCTAAAATACATCGCACATGGTCGAGCTATAATAAAAACCCATAGATGGTCACTCAAATAGCGAGCATGCACAATTTAACATGTTGAGGTACATAGTTTTCTTTGCATCACTCCTGGAATCAGTGTTAAATAGAGTGAAGACATCTTAAATTCATGCACCGCATCTAATGTACGAAAAATTGTTATCAAGCTTATCATTAGTTGTTTTCAAGCTAGCCTAACCTTTGATAGACAACACAACCATAAGTTAGCTCATTTTTTAGCTAACTCAGCTATTATCGCTAACTAACTTCGAGGTAACTAGCTTTAGCTTAGATAACTTAATCGTTCTCAGAGCAAAAATTTTTTTTACAATGCACGATTTAACGCCTCATTGAGATCATAACTGAACGGAAGGTTATGCATTAAATTTTATTTTAGAAAAAATGAATAGGAAAAAATCGGATGACCATAAATTTAGGCACTAATCCTATATTGATGAAAAAAAATAGAATTCCTGCGGGAGCTTATAACCAATACATTAAAAGTTTACAGGAATGATGACACTAAGAACAATCATTGATCAAGGAACGATTTAACGTCAACTGAACCTCACGTATTTTATAAATTTATTCGACGCTGTTACTCCACATTAACACGTCTATTATAATATTAATGACTTAATCAAGACAAAAAACGATTGCAATTAAGAAAATGAATCAGAAGCGAGGACATGGAGCACCGTGCGCTCACCAGGGTTGCGGGCATAGATCAAGAACATGTATCTGCCCCCCGAGCTCTCGTAATCTAGAGGCTCCTTGACGTAGACCAGGCCGCTGTGGTCAACTCCGAAGTGAGAGTCGCTCGACACGTATTCCACTATGCCGTTCTCGTCTATGTCGTCATCCGTTGCGTAAACCTGCACTAAAACTAATCAGTACGCAGGAACAACATTACCAGGAAATAATATTATTGTGCCAGCATATGTAATTATTATGCCACAGATCGATACAACCAGCGACGTCAATTCGACCAGTGACATTAAATTCTATGTTGTCTGCGTTTACGTTATTTTTCGTCAATGCCATTCATCTCAAATGGCCTTTAGCTGGAGTTACAGTCATTAACAGAGTTTAAAGCAAAGGGTTTTTACCTTTCACCCATCAATTATCATTAAAATTGAAAATTTCTACAATCACACCGACTAGATTTTTCCAATTAATCAATGATGATAACGGAAATTCGCACATGGCTCTATTGACGCGCTGTTAGCTATCCACGAATAGAGAATATTAAATAAATATCAACAACTATCCACTGATTTGCAGGTAATTAATTCGTTAAACTAACTGAGACAGTTTATGCTCAATTAAAAACGTTTCTGAATATTTTATTCAAATCAACTTTTTGATCTGAAGAAAAACATTCAAAACACATTTTGAAAATACAACCATATTCCGTATAGGGAATTTTCATTCATATGAATAGTCACTGAATATTAAGCGACTTGCGATCGACTTTCTTTTTGCCTCATACGTATTAGTTTTGAAAGAATTGAAGACGAAGATTCATTTTAAATGAAACCAGAAAGTTTACCTTAGGCGCATGCGATTACAGTGAAATGAGTTGTATTCCTCTACTTTCCAAAATTTAAATGGAAATACTATGACCTCTTTCAAAATATTCAAGTCAAAATTTTATACGGAAATTTCCTATTAAACAACTCACAAGAACCATTGGAAAGAATATTTTTGCCATTAATGTAGTATATTAAGTCTTTAAAAGAAATTATTTTGGTTAGCTGTTAAACATTTATTAAAACCGCAACAATAAATATAAGAAGCCCCGTTTTTCTGACCCACCAGGTTTGAAAGCATATGCAGTTGTCATTGAAGCAATAGTCGTCATTTAACCAAACAACAAGATTGACTTATTCCAGGAACTCACCGACATAACCGAGGAGGATACTGGCGCATTTTCGTCGATTGTGGCCTTATAGCTCTTCTGACGGAATTTCGGGAGGTGCATGTTGCCTGACGCCTGCTGCCCGCTCCATGAACTGTCGCGAACGCTGGACACACTCGGGGCGTCGGCGTGGTACCGCTCTATCGGCCACTCCGCCCGAGTTTGGTTCCTGGATATGCTTGCTTCGGGACGAGTAGAGTCGTCAGGTTGGCGGAACGGAGCAGTGTCGAAATTTTTCCATACTGCCTTCTCGTGATGCCTGTTTCTTTGATAATGTCGCCTGTGTCGACCAGTTCCTTCATTATGCGGTTTGTTTCTTTGTCTTTTCTGGTCATGATGCTTACCCGGATGTGTAGAATGTTTTCTTGGATGCTTACTTCCTCCGCTGTGTTTAAACGAAGAAGATCCCGGCGCATGTTTATCTGAAGAATGTAGCCGTGATATCTTGGATTTTCTTTTCGTCAATCCCCATGCTTCATTGTTCTTATCATTTCTATTGTTCAAATTCAGAGAAACAGAATCGCGAATCTCTGAGTTAACATCGACGGTTTCAGGCGGTTGATGGAAAGCATAATCCTCATCCACATGTGAGAGGGAGAAGCTGTACCGACCACCCGCATTATCTGCATCGGATGAGCAGTTGTGGTAATTAAGCGCGCTTTTAGGATTCTCAAGTCCCTGAGGGAGGCTTTGGAGGCTGCCAGGAGAACTGGGCTCAAAGCTTCTGTTAATTTTAAAGTCGGGATTTATAGCGTTGGATGAAAGAGGCAGTGCAATGAAAGCGTGACTGCGAGGCTTCTCGTTGCCAAACAAAGGCACATGAGGAAAATAAAGTTTCCTAGAAGATGACACGTTATGAGAGTATGCGAAATTATCGTTAAACAAATGCAACGTAAAATTAAAGGGAGATGGAGACTTTATAACTGGGGGTTTATGTACAAAGAGATTCTTGTGAGAAGAAATCGTATCATTGGTGCTCATGAGTCTTACAGTCGACAACCTCGAAGTAATATTTACAATTTTACTATTGGGCTTATCTAAACCTGTTAAGTCTTGATTATTTATGTGGAGTAAATCTAAGAAGGAACTGTTATTTTGAATTATAGCATTTTCCTTTCGATGTTGGGGCTTAATACGTTTTAAATGTTTCAGTTTAGTTATGAGTCTCTGGTATATGTTGACAGCGTTGCTTGGATTGGGATTAAAATCCGAGTGAAGCAATCTGTCGAACGGCCGAAGATGATTCACATGCTTTGATTGCTTGACTTCAGCCAAATTTGAACGAGACTCAGTATGATGTGTGTTGCTGTAATTACTAGTATTTAGATCAAGATTGTTTTTAGGTTGTTTATGGGAGATTTGGATAGTAGAACAATTAGCCAAATGACATTTTCGTTGGTGCACTGGTTTATTAGTCAATGGAGTTTGCTGAAACTGTGAATGGTGATGAAAAATGTGATGAAATGAATGATATTTGCGAGCATGAGGCAAAGCTAGATGATGGTGTTGGGCTAGTGTGTGTGGTGTTGAGGATTGTGTGTGTGGTGTTGAGGATTGTGTTTGTGGTGCTGAGGATTGTGTGTTTGGTGTTGAGGATTGTGTGTGTGGTGTTGAGGATTGTGTTTGTGGTGCTGAGGATTGTGTTTGTGGTGTTGAGGATTGTGTGTGTGGTGTTGAGGATTGTGTGTGTGGTGTTGAGGATTGTGTTTGTGTGACGAGACGCTTACTCTGTTGTGTGCGCTGCCACCACGCGCTGCTGCCGCTCCCTCGCGTCGACTGGGCTGCCGCTGCAACAAATAAAAAATCTAATAACACTCAAGCTAGAGGAAATTAAATTCAAATATTCATTTCATGCATCAGTTAAATTTAAATTATTTGAATAATAAATTTTCTGACGGTGCGCTCATAAAAATTACATAATGACGCGTTCACAATGTTTTTGAATGCACTGAATTTCTTCGTTATCCAACATTTCGAATGGGACTCACAAACTGGCCAATCAGAGCTCAAATAAATGAACAACCGCTGTTATAAATAAACTTGACTTTTTATATTTTCGATGGAATAAATGTAAAACAAAAATATATTCCTCACACTTGTTCCTGTTAAAAAGCAGATACAAAAACTTGCAATTAGTTTCGAATTATCGTGAGTTCAGAGCTCGCAAGGTGCGCATTCTTTTCTTAAAGAATCGAGCAATTTTTTTTTTTGCTTATGCGTTTCCATGACTTTGAAGAGAACGAAGCCATTTTAGGCTCTGTTGTTGCCTTGCGCTTCAGGAAAATTAGTGTGGCTGAGTGCAAAGCGTGCAGCCCTCTTTGCTTGCTGGGACTTCATTAACTTCATTAGAAAATTCTGTAAACGAGGGAAGATTGACCCCCAAAAAACAGCCAACGAGCGCCGAGCGAAAGATGACACATCGGCTCAGCTGGTTACAGTGAACAAGCGATGTCAGTGAGTCCTGCTTAAAACTTTCAGAATTTTAAAAGAGCGAGTCAAACATTTTCTGAAAACGCGCAAGCAGTTCGAAATTTTGTAGCAATACCAGATTAGGAGACCGAAAGTGTTGAGAATACTTTAAGTGTTGGGAATATCTTAAGAAGTCACCAGAAATAACTTGCATGCATTGCTTAGAACCTTTAAACATTCTGACAACTAACGAGATTTATTAAAATTCATGAACTTCATTCCTACTCTAAATCAAGCTTTATACTACCGAATATTCAAAGAAATTATACACGATCCATTCTTGTATGAAAGAAATAGAAGAATATACATATATGTATACCTGAATACGTACTCTAAAGTTCACAGTCGTAATTTAAAATTGTTTAATATCACAAGAACGCTAATGCCACTTTGGAGGGCCGGACTTCCCATTATGATATTGAAAATGATTCAAGGACTTGATCTTGTCCGAACAGGTCGTCTATACTCTATATCTGCGCAATGAACTAATCAAGGTGATCTTGCGGCCACGCCCACAAGGCAGAGCCACGCCATAATGCACGCTATTTGACGGCCATGAGCAGCGGAAAAGAAAACAAAATTTAGTTTCGATTTTCAACGAATTGTGCGAATTCAGCTAGATAAAGAAACAGACGAGTACAACATAAAGCAGGAGAGCGGCAACACATGACTCGCTCAAATAGCCGAGGTGAGATACAGAGATTAGTGTAGGAACGTTAGCAAGCTCTCCCACGTTGTTGCTCGCCGATGAAGGTTCAATCAATAATGGATTTTTTATTGTGAAGATTGACTTGATTTACGAAATAAAGTAAGATGTCTTATAGCAGGAAGGTGATGACGTGAAAAATTATTCACGTGCGATTTCCCTAAAATTATATTGCAACGGAATGCGAGATCTAGCACATTTTTCACTCGAATATGATGAGGACAAGACAAAGACGCTCTAACTTTGGAAACATTCGATTATGCCAGTTTTCAAAATTCAGAAAGGCTTTTCGATATAAAACTCAGAAAATACTTTCACTGTACCGCGATTGACCTGAACTAAAGCATAATATAATCAAGCGACATATGTTTTAACCAGGAACTGTCAAGCTTCAAATCCTGCCTAAAAGCATTTGCCATTCAAAAAAAGTAACAACAAACAGCACAAATACAGGGCCAAGAAGCACAACATGGAGCAAGCAGCTGAAGCCCTGCCTTGTTGCTAGTACACAGTCTAGATTGCAATCACGTGCGCTGTGTTTGCGATGCACTTCTAGAGAGCGCGACACGAGGCCGGCCGGTCGTCACAGGTGTGCACTGCAGTCATCCTTAGCGCGGAGACCGTTACGTAATGACAAGGATCGGCTACTGAGCTGCTTGACATATCGTGAGATAGCAAATGATGCTTCATATTTAGTATTATTACAAGAGGCGAACTTTCAGTGATTAAAAATTCCAACAAACAAACAATTTTGGTTACTTCAAATATATAAGGATCCGTACTGGTATTAATGTTATGTATTAAAGCTATTTAAGACAGAATGCAACGCTAGATCTGATAACCTCATTAGAAATTGAAATGCTGCTTACTTACATACTTAAAACAGAAAGAGCAACTCACGAATAAAATTCTATACCGCCGCTCTGAATAAATTCATTTGAAAGGGACGAGACTCCCCCGCACAAGAATAGCCCGTTTAACGGAAGGCATGTTCCGCAAAATTCAGACATTTGAATGTTGGGTAATAGGTTAGAGGCTCACAAACGCTCAACAAGGTATTCTAAAAGTTTATGCAGTGTAAAGCATAATGATTAAGATACGTGAAAAAACAGGTAGATAAAAACCCTCGAATATTTGCTTTATGCTGAAAGGTTTTCTATGTAACCACCGTTGTGTGTTAGCATTAAGTCAAAAGTCATTTATTTGTTAAGATATTGTGATGTACAGCTCGTACTAATCAATCCATCGTATTACTAATTAATCTATTCTACACTATCCAGTTCCTTATATACCTAGCTGAAATTCTTGCACAGCAATTCAAATAAAATCATTGAAATAACGTGTCGTCAATTTTATGTTTCACATAATTTCCGATGAACTCGCCTAGTTTTTATAAAAAAGCAACGAATGATTCAGAACTAGAAGAGAAAATTGAAAATGAACCTCGCAGTAGGCACAAGCGCTTAATAATAATGATCGTTTCAATTGGCTCCGCTCGTAACCACAGAAATATAAAGAATATCCAAAGAAAGCGAATTTGGCAGAAGCCAGGGCCTAAATTTCGAGATGGTAAACTGTTATAGCAATTTAACGAGGACTTGAAAGACTGAAGAATTTCCATGAGTTCGATGAAATCAAAACTCTGTCGCAAGCGAAAAAAATTCATCATCAAATAGCAAATAAAAGCCGCCTGCCAGGAATAATGGCTTCCGGGCATTGACAATTCAGCTCTGAGAACTCATAAAAAATAGAATAGCTTTCAGCTGCAGAACAAACGGTTCAAAATGTTCCAAGAGCCGACTGCTTATTTTTGTGTCCAAAATCAACACTACATTTACCGTTATAAGGACTTTAAAAAAAAAACAGGTACTAGGAACAATGATTAAATGGCATCTCTTTCAGAAACGGGCGAAGACATGGGTCTTAAAAAATAAACTACAGTGATGGATCAAAATGAACTGATGGTAGAGAAGGTAATCGGCCATTTACTGAGGGTCAG